ATCCTGGAGCACTCGGCTCTGTCCCTGCCCTCCCCTCCAGCTCAGTGCAAAGCCGCCCTCCTTGTCCAGCGCAGCAGGAGCAGAGGGAAAGCCCAGGGGAGCAGGACAAGAGCTGGATCCTGTGCCAGAGGCCAGGCTCTGTTCACAGGCTCCTGCTCCAGAGCCGAGCCATGGGAACACAGGGTTTAGGTGAGGGAATCAGCCTGGTCTCACTCACCCCCCCTCTTTCCCATCATTCCCTGGAGCCCCCACAGCAGCCCCATGGCCAGCAGGCACAGAGCCTTCACCCCACACTACAAGGATGAGCATTGCCCACGAGGTGCTGCCCACTTTGGGGTGCCACCTTGCACCACCCCCAGGTGATGCTCTGAGAGCATCAGCTCTGGGAGATGATTTTCCATGGCTCTACCTGGCTCCTGCAGCAAGTCCCAGCCCAGGGCATCACTCATCCTGCTGTGCCCCCCAGAAGAGCTCAGTGCCAGGCCCAGTGCCTGCTCCCCGGCACAAGGGACACCAGGGACATGGCTCAGGGACTTTCTGCAGGGCAAAGCAGAGCGGTGTCAGCATTGATTTGCTTTTAACTCTTTAGTGCTCCTCTGAGGAAGGGTGTCTGCATCCGAGCACCCAGAGGCACTGCTTGGGCTCAGCCCTGAGCGGGCACCTGCTGTTGCTCGCTGCCTGTGCTAAGGGAGGGAAAGCCAAAGCCGGGCTCTGAGGCAGCAGGAGCTGCCCTGCTGGTGCTGCAGGATTAAACCACGAGCAGCACATTGCACTACAGTGAGGTACTGGATGGTGATGGACAGGCCTGGTGCAGCCAGAGCCCTCTGCTAGGATGAGGTTTCCGTGTTGGAGCTGCAGCAATGCGTCAGCCGGGCTGTGGGTATTTCATGTTTGGTGGGTGGGGAAGGAGGGATCTGTGTGGAAAACAGGGAGGTGATGGGAAGGGATCACCGAGCCCCCTGCCCCTCATGGGAGCTGATGCTCACACCCCCAGCACTCACCTGCAATGGCCAGCTTTGCCCTATGCAAGCTCTGTCACCACCGCCCCAACTGATGGCAGAGGGAGTCTCCAGCAGGAGCATCTCCTCTCTGTGCTGCTTTAATGAGGAGAATACGGAAAGCCTGGCTTCCCAGCCCTGGGAAGGACCCTGCCCAGCACAGCGTGTGCCTGGATCAGCTCTGTCCTGGCAGAACCCCCAGACAATGACATTTCTGGCAGCTCAGAGCTCTGCAAGGGGACTGAGATCAGAAATACCCCATTCCCCCACCGCACCCAGGGGATCTCTTGTGCTGGGGATAAAGGGGTGCAGGTGAAGGAGCGAGGAGCACAGGGGCTGCCACCGACATCCCACAGGCCACCGAGGTGGGATGCTGCAGGGAAGGAGCACGAGGTGGCTTTGGGGGGGGGGGCTGCCAGAGCCCCCCCACGGCCACCTTGCCCCAGCTCACCCCAGGGGAAGGGCAGGAGAAGGAGCGAGCAGCGGGAGCGCAGCGCTCGCAGCAAACCCAGGCGAACGAGCCCCGCTGCTGGCTCCTTGCTGACTAATAAAGAGCAGCCCCGCTGCCGCTGCGGGCGAGTGACAGAGTTTGCCTTCGCAGCCGCTTGATCTCAGTGGGAACTTGACCTCAGCTTGGCTCCGCTCCTCGGGGCGCTCGCAGTGACCGCGCTGAGCCGGCGGGCGCTGGAGCGGCTCCGCTGCCGCCCCGCACACACGCACGCACCGGCCCCGGGCAGCCCAGGCTCGTTCCAGCGCCCGGAGCACGGCTCGGAGCGCGCAGGGAGCACGGACCCGGGGCCGCCGCTTTGCTGCGGGTGCGATGGGGCTGTCACCGGGCGGGGGTTGCTATGGGTCTGCCAGAGCCGGCACCTGCCTGGTCTCCCCATAGCTCATGAGGAGCCAATTCCCCTTCCTAGCCCCAACACGGGACAGGCAAAGAGCCCCAAAGAGCAAAGCCAAGGGGCTCTACAAGCCCCCCTGGCTTGCCCTGCATGGAGCCATCCTCGCTGTCTCCTCTTCCTCAGCCCTCAGAGATGTGAAGCCTGGTGCTGTGGCTGGGCTGAGCATCACCCCAGGCAAAGCTTCCAAGCGTGCCCGCCCCCCCGCTGCTCAATAACCGAACCCCGCTCTGCTGGGCAGGGTTTGGACTCGGAGCCTCCCTGTTGCATCTCTCAGCTCCTCACATCAGCACTAAAGCCACGCTGGAGTTCTTTACACCAATGACCTCCTAATGAACCGCGCTGCCGTTCTCTGGAGGGGTTCCCAAGCCTTTATCCTGACGGGAAGAGCCTTCTCTTTGATGGAGACTCCATGGGGAGGTTCCTTCCCTCCCAGACCTGCACTGACTGCACTGAACAGGCAGCGGTGCAGCCCCTGCCAGCTCCATCCCCTGCAACGAGAGCTCTGGATCCGTGACGCTGCTTTAGAGCAGGGACTGACTTCTCCCATTTCGGGGGGGTTCTTTCAGCCCTTGCTGTGAACAAGCTGACCCCAAACTGCTCAGGGAGCCTCCATCCCCTGTGCTGGGGCTGCACGCCTTGCCCAGGGCTGCTCAAAGCAGGAATCAGTCACCACCAAGGCACAAACAAAGGTCACAGATCCACAAACCAACCTTCCTGCTTCCCAGTCTGAAACCAGAGCTGCTGCTTCCCAACGCAAGGATACCTCTGCCTTCCCCTGCCAGCTTCTGCCTCCCCCCAGCCTCACTCCCATGTATCCTGCTGGAGTTCAGCCCTCTCCTGCTCTCTCCATGCAAAAAAAAAAAAGCCAGGACAAGAGGGCTGAGATTTGGAACCTGCTTCAAGCCACATCCTGACCAGGGGACAAGGAGGGATGCGAAGCGTGGGCACTGCAGCCACCCCACCCCACCCGGCCAGGAGGAGCGGAGGGGGGGCTCTTGTACATACCTGTATATACCGGCCGTGCCAGCACACGGCTTTGTTACCCTGACGTTGTACAGACACTCGGCTGCCCCCGCTCCTCTGGTCTTTCACCTCAACAGGCGGCTTGTGCAAGGCAAGGGAAGGTGAGGTTTACCCTGTCCTAAGCACAGGAGCCCTTCCCTGCCGAGCCAGCTCAGCCGCAGCCCCGTGCTGCATCCCCTGTACATAGCCCCCCCCTCTCCGTGCCTGTCGCTGTGCTCCGTGTTGTGTGTGTGGGTCTGCTGTACACACCGGGGGGTCTCTGCTTCCCGTCTTGCTTCCCTCCGCAGCGGCTGCGTCCCGGTGTGGAACCGAGCCACGGTTTGTGCCACAGGGAGGGAGCTGGGGACAGGCTGCGGGGGAAATAAACCGGTTTTCCTACAGCTTCTGGCTCTGTGTGTGTGTGTGGGAGGGCCGGGGGGAGCAGTGGGGTAGAACCCAGGCTTGGGCACTGCCCTGGGGGAGGAAGAGGCACCAAACCTGGAGCTGCACTAAAGGACAACAAGGGAGGACCGCTTCTTCCCCACATCCATCGCCCCATGGAGAGCAGCACCCACGGGGTGGTCTCTGCTTTGTGGGGTCCATGCAGCAAGAGAGCTGTGATTACCCCCAAAGCCCCACAGGATCATTCCCTGGGCAGCATAAACTCAGGGCACCGAGCTACAGGCACATCTGTGCCAGCATCACCCCTATCCTGGATGGGCACAGCTGAAGCACGACCACAAGCAGCTCTCTGAGGCAAGGGGCTGCAGCAGCTCTGAACAACCGGGTGGGAGAAGGAAGCTTCTCCTGCCCTTGGGGCTGGTTGTGATGAGATCAAGGGCAGGTAAAGCGCTGCAGGTTGAATGTGGTGGTGAAATCAGCAGCGGGAGGGACTCGCACACACGGGGGTGCTTGCAGGAGGGGAACACTGATGGGGAGAACTGAAGCTTGGCTCCGACAGGCTTTGCCATCAACAGCTTCCACGCCACGACCCCCTCATTCCAAAACATCTTCCTGTTCCCCCCCTAAATTTACAACGCAGTCAACAGGGGTTTATGGGATGTGAATACAACCCCTCCCAACCTGGTTCCACCGCATCCCGCAGGGAGCGGGGTGCTGCCCGGCAGCTCTGCCCCCCACATCCGCCTCGTTGGGGCAGCGGAGGTAGCGGGGCAGGAGCTTCCTGCAGGACCAAGGCAGGGAAACAGTGCACTGGATGCTGTGCTGTGCTGCAGCTGAGGCAGCACGAGGTGCTGAGCCGGTGCCTGCGCTGCGGGGAGCTCTCCTGGCTGGGTCTGTATCGCTCTATGGGACCACAGCAGGACCCGCACATGGAGGGGCTCTGGTTTCTGCCAGGAAACATCAACGCTGATGGGAGGAAGGCAGCAACAGCGCGGGGGAGATTCAGCAAAGAAAACCCAGAGCGCTGTGATTTCCCTCTGCCTCCACAGCCTGAAACACGCCAGGTGATGCGGGGGGGCTCCGAGAGACCTCGGAGCATAAAGGGGCTGCAGGAAACCTGGAGAGGGGCTTTGGACAAGGGGCCAGGCCAAGGGGAATGGCTTTAACCTGCCCAAGGGGAGACTGAGATGAGCTCTTAGGCAGAAGCTCTTCCCTGGGAGGGCGCTGAGGCGCTGGCACAGGGTGCCCAGAGAAGCTGTGGCTGCCCCATCCCTGGCAGTGCTCAAGGCCAGGTTGGACACAGGGGCTTGGAGCAAGCTGCTCTATGGAAGGGGTCCCTGCCCGTGGCAGGGTTGGAGCTGGAGGCGCTCCGAGCTCCCTCCAAGCCAAGCCGCGGCTCTGTCAGGCACAGACCCCGGCGAGGTCCCGCCGGGCGGGGGCGCGATGCTCGGTCCAGCCCCGCTGCCTCCCTCTAGCGCTGCCCGCCCGCTGCGGGCGCAGAGGCCCCGGCGGGAGGCTCCGGGACCGGCCCGTTCCCGGTAACCGGGCGCTAGGGCGGGATCCGCGCCATGAATCCCGATGGAATCCGCGCTTCCCCCGGCCCCGGGTCGCCACGGCAACGGCGCGGCTCTGCCCTGCCCAACGATGGCGGCGCCCCGCCCCTTTCCCGTCCCCAAGATGGCGCCGCCCACGTCAGCCCGGTTCCGGGCGGCGCGGCCATGGCGGCTCGGGGCGCGGAGGCCGAGGCGCTGTTCGAGGCGCACACGGCGGCCGAGCTGCGGGCGGTGGAGCGGCGGCTCCGCGCCGACATCGAGCAGAAGCGGGAGGAGCTGCGGCAGATGGTGGGCGAGCGGTACCGAGACCTCATCGAGGCGGCCGACACCATCGCCGAGATGCGCCTCAGCGCCGAGCGCCTCCTGGGCGCCGTGCGGGGCCTGCAGCGAGGCGGCGGCGAGGCCCGGCCCGGCCCCGCGGCTCCGGTGAGGGGATGGCGGCGAGGGGCGCGGTGGGGCGGGCTCGGAGCTTCCCCCTTTGACCTCTCGTTCCTCCTGCAGGCTCGGCCGCCGGCGCAGGAGAGCTTCTACCGGGCGGCGGCGCAGCTGAAGCTGCTGCTGGACGTGCCCGAGAAGGTCTGGGGGGCAGTGGAGGGCGGCCGGTACCTGCCCGCGGCCCGGCTCCATCTGCTCGGAGCCCACCTCCGCCGCCAGCTCCAGCTCGATGCGCCCCGGGCCCGCAGCAGCCCCGTCCTTGCTCGCTTCCCCATCCTGCTGCGGCAGGTGGCTGCCGCCAGCCACCTCAGGTGGGCTCCGGGGGGATGCTGGAGGGATCGCCCAAGGGGTGCCCCGTCCCTGGCAGTGCTCAAGGCCACGATGGACACTTGGAGCAAGCTGCTCTATGGAAGGGGTCCCTGCCCGTGGCAGGGCTTGGAGCTGGATGCGCTCCCTTCCAACCCAAACCATGCCATGACCCCAGAACATGGGGCTCTCAGACCTCTCCCAGCCCCATAACCGCACTCGAACCTCTCGCTCCAGCCCCTGAGCGTTCACTGTGCACCTCTTTCCCTTCCAGATCCACCATCCTGCAGGAGAGCAAGGCCCTGCTGAAGAGCCGCACGGTGTCGGACCAGGCGGTGGCCGAAGCCCTGTGTGCCATCATGCTGCTGGAGGACAGCTCACCACGCCAGGCCCTCGCTGACTTCCTCCTGGCCAGGAAGCTGGCCATCCAGCAGCTCCTCAACCAGCCCCACCACGGTGAGTACCCCTTCGCCTCCTCTCTTTCCCCAGCAGTAGCAGGTGGGTTAGCCCTGGGAAGCTCACTACAGTAGCCATGGCATGGCACTGTGGTGGTGGGGCTGACAGTGGTCCAGCACCAAATGCCAAGCAAATTAACAGTGCTGAGGGCCTCAGGCTAAGCTCACCTCTAAAGGAATGAGTCTTTTGCCCTCCAGCCCTTCCCTGAAGGTCTCACTGTAAGCACAGGGCTCTGTGGAGGGGCTGCCTCAGCTGAAAGGCATTGCTCTGCAGGCGCAGGTATAAAAGCTCAGGTGTGCTCGCTGATGGAGCTGTTAACCACGACCCTGTACCAGGCCCATGCTCTCTTCTACACCGTGCCTGAAGGGATGCTGCCGGATCCAGCCCTGCCCTGTGGTTTGCTCTTCTCCACCCTGGAGAGCGCCACAGGCCAGCAACCAGCAGGTGAGGGCACAGGCAGCTCTGTTTGCAGGCAGGAGGTTACCCCCGTGCTGGGCTGATGCCTTCCCTGTCTGCTTGCAGGAAAAGGAGGGGTTCTGGAGGAGGAGCTGAAGCTGAGCAGCTGGTTCCGGTACCTCCCGGAGTCCGTGGTGGAATTCCAGCCGGCCCTGCGGACCCTGGCCCATCCCATCAGCCAGGAGCACCTCAGAGAGACGCTGCAGAAGTGGATCACCATGTGAGTGCAACAACACCCACCTTGCAGGGCTCTCCCAGGCACCACACAGCACAGCACAAAGCAAACCCAAGCTCATTTACATCCTCCTTCATTCCAGGCAGGCTGCTTGCCCAGCCTGCCTTTTTCCCTGCAGTTTAACAGCCAGAGGCAGCACAGCCCCATCCTAACAGCCAGTGCTGTAGCACCAACATAACAAACCACCTGGGCCGCACAAAGAGATGTGTCTAGAGCTGCTTTACTTCTGCTATAGCCACCAGCAAGCAAGCACAGAGTAAATGAGAAGGAAATCTCTTACCTGGCTCACTTGGCTCTTGATCCAGCACCTCCTTTCTCCTCACTGCCTTTCCCTAGACTGGAGGAGGGAACCAGCCACCCTTTATAGGGCTGCCAGCTCCACCCCAGCATGCCTTGCCCTCCACCTACAGCCCTGCCTGCCCCTTAGAGCCTCATTAGCAGCCTCGTTAGTCCTGTGTCATTATCTGATGGAGCCAGCTGGTCCCTGCCCCAGCTGCAGCCCCCCTCCCCATGTGTTTGCTGGCCATGGGATGTGTCCCCTGCAATGCTTCCCAGAGCCCCACCAGCCCTCCCTGCTGCCAGGGTTCCTGGGGCACCATGCTCCCAGTTTGTGTGTTCCTGGGATCTGGGGTGCAGCTGCCTCCCCCGGAGGCACCCTGAGCCCCATAAGTAATACTACAGGCAAAGCCTCTTCAGGTTAAGGAGCCCATGTTCCCTCCTGCCTTCCCTGGGGCGGTGCCAGAGCAAGTCAGTGAAGCCAAACGTGTCCTTCAGGTGCAGTGAGGACATCAGGGCTGGGGTCAGCAACCTGCTGGTGTACGTGAAGAGCATGAAAGGCCTCGCAGGGATTCGCGATGCCGTGTGGGAGCTGCTCACGAGCGAGCCCGTGAGCCACAACTGGGACGCGCTCTGCCATCGCCTCCTGGACAAGCCTGCTTCCCTCTGGGAGGATCTGCTGCAGCAGCTCTTCCTGGACAGGCTGGAGGTGGGTGGCAGTTCAGGGGAGCCTTGCTGTGTGCTCCCCCTTGTTCACCGCTGGTGTTAGCGTGTGGTTTAAGTGCTATAAGCAGCAGGAGGCACGTTGTAAAAGTGCTTTTGGGTTTCTGTTCCAGGCACTGACCAAAGAAGCGTTTGACTCCATCTCTAGCAGCTCCGGACAGCTTCTCACCGTCGCCTTGCAGGAACTTGAAGTCCACCCCAGCACCTCTGCCCCGAGCAAGCACATCCAGTTTGAACACAACGTGGCCCTGTTCCTGTGGTCAGAGAGCTCCAGCGACCTGCCCTGCGACGCCGCCTGGGTCAGCGTGGCAAACCGCGGCCCCTTCGCCAAGAGCGGCTTGGCCATGAAGGCGCAGGCGCTGACGCCGTGCGTGCAGAGCTTCTGCTCGGCTCTGGACTCCAAGCTGAAGGCCAGGCTGGATGATCTCCTCTCCTACCTCCCCGTGGACCCCTCGGCCAAGGAGGCTGCTCCCGCCGTGCAGCCGCGCTCTGCCTTTGACCGCTACGCTGATGCCGGCACAGTGGAGGGGCTGCTCCGTGACCGCTGCGTCGCCTGCATCCACCATGTACTGGGCTGTGTGCGTGAAGAGCTCCAGAGCACGCAGAGCCTGCTGGGGGGGCAGGCAGATGCTGCCAGTGATGCCAGACTCAATGCTGTCCTCTTCATGGCCAGGCTCTGCCAGTCCCTGAGCGAGCTCTGCCCTCACCTGAAGCAGTGTGTCCTGGGCCGGTCGGGCAGCTCGGAGATGGTGCTGAAGGAAACCCGCTCCACCAAGAAGCTGGGGAAGGGGAAAGCCCAGGAAGTGAGCCCCGTGCAGACCAAGTGGCAGGGGGTGAAGGCAGAGCTCCTGCAGCAGAGCCTCTTTGCTTACCGGATCTGGAGCTCGGCTGTCACCAAAGTAAGGAGCTGTTTCTCCCCTCACCACTGCTTCCTGCATGGGTTGTACTCACTCAGCTCCCTGTGGTCAGCGCTGCTGCTCCTTAGCTGGCTGCTGAGAGCTCACTGTGCTGCTTCCATGCTGCACATGGGGAGAGGAGGTGGCATCTAGTGGGATGGTCTCTGTACAACTGACTTTGGGAGGCAAGGGGGGCTGTGGGAGATCAACCTCTCTGCAGGCAGGAACAGGCTGCCTGTCCTCTGACTGTGTGCTTTGTTTTTTGTGCTGTTAGGGGCTGGTCGAGTGCTTTACCCGCACGTTGCTGCTGGACACGGCTGGCTCTGTCCTGGCCACAGCCACCAGCTGGGATGAAACTGAAATTCAGGAGGAGACCGAGTCTGGAACCACCGTAACGTCCAAGATCCGCCTGCCCATGCAGGTACGAGGTGCATCCCCGTGGTAAACACACAGAAACAGCCTGCTGGGAGGAGAAGCCTCCAGAGCCAGCACTTTGGCCTGCTGTGGAGTTTGCTTGGTATTATGAGCACAGCAAAATGCTCCCCAGTGCTTTTACTTGCTCTTTGAGGTACCTCCTAAGGATGAAGAACATTGGCCCAGATGCTGTAAAGCTGAACTGAAGGACTTAGGCCTGGTTTATACACAGAAGTAGGAAGCTGCTAAAGCTAACGTAGCTTACAGACCATATTAAACTAACAGGGTTTTCCTCCACAGCCTTCCTGGTGCGTGCAGTGCCTCCTCTTCAGCCTGTGCCAAGAGGTGAACCGGGTCGGTGGCCACACTCTTCCCAAAGTCACCTTGCAGGAGCTGCTGAGGGGCTGCATGGCACAAGTGCTTGCTGCCTATGAAAAGCTTATGGAGGAGAAGCAGGAGAAGGTACGTGAGCAGGATGATCCCTCAGCATGGAAAGTGTCTGCCTGTGAGCATTGGAAAGGGTGAGAACAGTCTTCCCCTGCCTGCCCCAGAAATGAGGCAGTAGGGGATCAGACGCCAGACTGCTCAGAACGGTTGTTAGGTTGGATGGTGCTCGATGCTGGTGTTTCTAAGCATTTCCCTGAAGCAGTCCTTTGACACCTTCTGGGTGAGTGAAGAACCTTGTTCCCTGTTTGCAGAAAGCAGGCACCTTCCCCATGACCCAGAACAGAGCTCTGCAGCTACTCTATGACCTGCGGTACCTGAGCATCATCTTGACAGCGAAGAGTGAGGAAACAAAACCCAGCAGGATCAAGCACGACTCCAGGTGCGATGCAGTTGTGGGGTTCAGATACCAGCAGGAGCTTCTGAGGTCCTAAAATGGTTTAAACCAGCAGCTTTATCAGTCCCAGGAGGATGCTCATCCTCAAAATATAGGAGGTGGGGGGGAATTCTGGAGCCGAGTGCTCGGAGATGGTGGCCTCCCATACACAGCGTGTCTATAGAGTTAAAACTCTGTGTATGTTCCAGTCTTGAGAACTGAGGCATCTCTCTCTGGGATGTACCACAGGGAGGAGGTTCCTCTGAGCAGCAGACGTTGTAGGTTGTGGAATAGCTGGAAACTTCAGCTGTTCTGCTGAGTAATTCCCGTTTTTGCTGTCACCTCATTGTGAAACCGCTCTGTTGGCCTTGGCAACCGGTGCTGGGATGTAAACCCCGATAGGGCTCCTCTGCTCTGCTCCTAGGATGGAGAAGGTGATAGACTTCCTGGAGGGACACATAGATCCGTTTGACTTGGATGTTTTCACTCCACACTTGAACAGCAACCTGAATCGCCTGGTTCAGCGAACCTCCGTGAGTTCAAGGCACAGGGAGGGAGCAGGAAGCAAAACATGTTCTGAAGGGCAGCTTCATAAACTGCTTAATGCCTAAAGATAACTGCAGGCACTTAGGCAGAAACGGGAAGAGTATTTAATGCCAGCTGAAGATAAGAGGAGTTGGCTGAACTTTACCTAATGGGCTTCACTGGAGCCTGTGCAGCTCTAATCGGGTTAAGTAGTGCTGAAACAGGCCTAAAACTAACCTACCGTGATAAAAAGCAGTGCCAATTAAAAGCAAGAGTTAGAGGGGGAAGGGAGACACTGTGTTCAAACTTAAACCCGATCCAAGCAGCGTGCTCACCAGTGTACTCAGCTGCTCCCAAATGCAGACAGCCCCTTCGTGCCTCCTAGGTTCTCTTCGGCTTGCTGACCGGGACGGAGAACCAGTACACGAGCAGGAGCGGCACGCTCAGCTCCCAGGAGCAACACAACATCTTGCCGTTAGCATCCAGCCAGATCAGGTGAGGCATTCCTGTGTTCTTTGGGGAAGCAGAATGCCTGGAATCGCTGCCTCCCTCTGACTGGCCACATTTTTGTCTTCCATCTCTTGCAAGATTTGGACTTCTGCCGCTGAGTATGTCGAGCTCGCGGAAGACCAAGTCTGCTTCTAGGAGCACAGACAGAGTTCAGGTCAGTGAATGGGGCTGTACTAACTTCCTGGCAGTACTCATTCTGCCGCCAACACTAGGGCTTGTGGGGAAAGAACAAAGCAGCCAAGCAGTTCATGTTTAACCTCATCTTTATTTTCGGTAAAACCAGAGAACCATTGCAGCAACACAGCACAGGATGGGTTTCCCCTTGACCCTCAACAAACCAACTGATGGCCCCTGGATTCTGGGGGCTCTCTGCTCTGTGGTAAAACATAAGCAATAACCACCATAAAAACGCAGGGATGAGGCATTCTGAGGTCATTGCATAGAAGACAATTCATTTAAAGATGGCTGCAAGAACTCTTGAAGGATACAAGCTAATTATCTGAACTCCTTTCCAGTAGGATGCGGACCTCTAACTCCTGACGAAGCCTGGCTTGGGTATTGAAGCCTGTGTGAGCAGAGTGGTTTGCTTCTCTTGCAAAGGCTTTGTGTTGTCCTGTTTCTGAGTTTTAGAAGTAGACAACTTATGTTGCTACATTTAAAACATCCACTTAGATGGAGTTCTCTGTGCTGAGGCTTGAGAGCCAAGGAATACCTCACTGCTACAGGAAGCAGTAATTAGTAATCTCTTTCCTTTAGCTATTATTAACACAATAATCCATCTGTGGTTATGTCCCTTCAATGGGGACAGAAAAGGTCTGAGTGTTACCTGAGATGCTGATGCAGTTTACTCTGCAACTCTTGTTCTCCATTACTCGTGGTCTGAGGCCAGACCAGACATAGTATGAGGGCTGTTTGAAAGCCCAAAGCTTCACACTAAGGGTATTGTTTACCTCTTACACCTCAGCTGGAGTAGAAGTGTGCAGTGGTGTGTGGCTCGCTCCTACCACTCCCCTCGCCTGCTGTGGTGGCACATGTGTGTTCAGTGCTAGCCACACTTCTGTCAACACCTGACAGATGCTTGCTCCTTCTTTTATGCTCAAATGGTTCTGGAGAGGTTAAAGTCTGCTTTGAATGACATCAAAAGAGTCACCTGCTGCTAACAACAGCCAGACGCTGTGCTGCTGCTGCTCAGAACAGTCTGTCACTCACCGCCTGGAGTGGCGCTGCTTCGGTTGTGGTTCAAGCTCCCGTTGCCTGGGAAGAGCTGTTCTGTAGCCTACGCCTCCTTGCAGTGGCTGTAGTTGAGGGCAGGGAGAATTCAGAGGTATGCTCTAATAGTTACAGATGGTTTTGTTATATGAACTAACAGGTTCCACCTCCTGTACTCACAAGAGCAGAAGACGAGGCGTCGCGCCCTGGCTCTTTGTTCAGGCAGCTTGTAACCGAGGAGGAAGACACAGCAGCACCTTCTCTCTTCAAGCTGGGCTGGCTTTCTGGCATGACCAAGTGACCCAGTAAAAACTGAAACATCTGGCTGTGTGTCTGTCTTCACTGAGGTCGTTCTCCCCCCTCGGCAGGGACCGGGGTCACCTCTGCTGGTGCGGTCGGAAGAGGAGTGTTGTCTGTCCTTAGCCAGGTCACAGTGCGCCACGTGAACCAGGCGCGGGTCAGGGATGTCCGTGCCCTCTGGCTGCAGCTACTTTTTCCCCTCTTGTTCCTTAGAAGTTGCTAGCCTTAAAATCAAATTAAAGAAAAAAAAAACCCAAAACAACCTACACACTAACAGAAAACAAAACATTTCACAGCTAGAAACTGGCACTGGAGCAACATCAGACTCCTCTTGCCATCAGGTACCACCAGTCTGCTCCAGTATGAACCCAGCGGGCGCCTGGCACTGCAGCTCCAGCTGCCTGAACCTTCCTGCTTCTAAACCCTGCTTCTAGTTTCACATTTCAGTACTGCAGCAGTAAAGCTCCATCCAGATAAAGCTCACCCTGCACTGAGCTAGGTGGGAAGTTTGCCACTGGAGCAGTCCTAAGGGATTCCAGTGGTAGCACCTATTCTCCCTGTCTCGGTGACTCTCAATGCTCAAAGGAATTATGTTGCCAAATAAATTTTTTACTAGTTTATTGAAATTAAAAAAGACTTATAAAACTGAAGATGAACGCTGGAAAGAACTTTACACAAAGCAATAAACTGCTAACAAACAGATTAGGCAGTCGATTGGAATTGGACATTTTGCAATCCTATAACACAAATGTGGATTCCTCAAGTCTCCTCCTGACAAGTACTTTAAAACCACCCCAAAAATGAATCCTATAAAAATTGCTTAAAAGCCCCTTTTGCATTGCAATAGTGCAGCAAACCACAAGTAAACAATTCCCTGTTAACCTGTTATTTCAAATATAGACTGAAAAGGCAACAGGCATTTTGTGCAATTCCATGTTAAACAAACTTTTGAGTTGAAATATCAAATCTACACAGTGCTGTCCCTTCACAGAAGGCAGGGAGCTGCTGGTTCATCATGTGGGAAGGCGTCCCCGGCTCTGTAGGCTGTGAAAGTGTGCCTCCTTCAGGATCTGGTTGATGTGGAAGTAAGGACCTTGGCTTAGTGCAGACTGCTCATGGAAGGACTGAGAGGAGACAGGGCTGGATCCCGCAATGACGGGGTTTAGGCTGGTTTCTGCACTGCACGCTCTGTCAGGGCTGTTGATGCTACTGCTACTACAGCTGCTGCTGCTGCTGCCGCTATCACTGCTGGAAGACTGAGACAAAGAGAAGGTTAATGGCAAAATCACACTGTTTTCTCTCCTGTCTGTAACAGGAGACACCTTAGATAAGCAAATCATCTTTACAGTAAGTCCCTCCCTTTCATATTTCAGGCTCACATTCAGCCTGATGGAGTGACATAAATCCACCAAGTGCTTTCTTGGCATTCATCGCTTCCGATACCGCCAACCCCTGGAAAGCTCTGCAGAGCTGAAGGGATGAGCAAACTTTCACCTGGAGGTTTGCTGACCTCTGGTGCATTGGATTTCATCTTTCAGTGTTAAACCCACCAGCTCTGCCCCCACGACCCATGTTAGCACTAGTGAAGTTTGCTGAGTTCATCCGAGAACTGGGAAATAAAGCACATTCCTGCTGAGCTGCAGGTGGCAGTGAAGGCAGACAGGGCAAGGGAGAGCTGTGCTCTTCTCTTCTAGCAGACACTTTAGGTAAGCACCATGCAAAGCAGTCTCCTACAAGTCAATCTTTCTAAAATGAGATCTGAAGCATCCAAAGCAAGAGGTTGTTAAAAGCAGCACAATTCCCATTTTAAGTCTTTGAACACCTTGACATACACACAGCTTTTCCCAGTTGAGCACTGGGACAGCAGTGTAGTCCCAGTAGTCTTCCATGATTTACTTGATAGGACAGCAGAAGAGCATCAAAAACTTCCACATGCAGAAAAGTCATGATTTAGCTCACAGAGAGGACAGGGCTCATTTGCCAGCATTAGACTTCATGGTAATGACTGGAAGAGCCCTAACCATCATTTTCAGCGTTTCAAAGACATAAAACTCTTTGGCTTACACTGTTTTAAGGGCTGCTAATGAAAGGTTCCATTAGTTACAGCTGAAATGTTTCATTACTGTGCGATAGGCTGTTCAAGACAACACTGGAAATATTTAGGTGCTTAAGAAGGAGAGAATGGCTACACCACCATCCCAGGAGAAGTAAATTCATAAAAGCAGCCAGCAGAAGTGACAGCAGCTAAATAACCCCCCCCCATATTTTAAGTATTAAACTAAAACCACAGAAGTCAAAGCTCGGTGGCCACAGCAGAAGACCAATTTGAAGAAGTCTAGTCATTTAAGAGTCAGCACCACATCCAGGAGGCCTCACTGTGAATGTATCTGAAGGACGGTGCAAACAGTCCTTCAATGAGCAGTGATAACGGCCTAGGAAGGCAGTGAATGAGGATTTGGGGTGGACCACACCTCAGTGCCACTGGAAACCCCAGGGCACTGATTCCACATGACAATCCAACCTTCTAAATGTCTTTGTTTTGTTAAGCACCAAAAATGCTTCAGTTCTGTGGCAGCGCAGCAAGCAAGACAACGGCACCCAGGCTTGCTTCAGCAAGGAGATGACAGCAACACATGGGTGAAGTCATCCCTGAGGAAGCAGCAGCTCCTCTTCCTAACCCTGCTAACACTAGAGAGGGAGAGAACCCCAGAAGGACAGAGAGGAGGCAGGACATGGTGCTTGCTACACCATCCCGTTTTGCATAGAAGCACAGGTACTGAATGCAATGCTGTTACGCTGGACAAGCCACAGCAGCCTTGGAGAGAAACCCACCGCACAGGACACTTTGTTGCCTTTTAGTCTCTGTTCCTTACTGTTTTTCGTTACAGCCACCTTCTGCAAATCAAGGTAAAAATCGAAATGAGAACCTGGTATTACTGACTGCTGAAGTTTCACATCTCAACAAACATTTTAGAGCAGTTAGCGATGATTATTTTATGCATCATCTTTTTAAAGCCGAAACTGTGTCCTGGGACGTGCTTCCTGCACCTAAGGCTGTTGACAGATCTGCTTTGTCAGACCCTCTTTATTTCCATTTCTCTAATGCAAAAGTTCACTAGCACAGTGAAGCCCATTTATTGCCCAAACCATGTCAGGGACCTACCATTTCCCCAGGCTGTGGTGCACATTCTGTAACGCATTTGGACTACAATTAGACAAAAAAAGAATCCTTATAGTCATCATGTCAGCAATGACAGGCATCTACACAATGAAACAAAGCAAAAGGGCAAAGGAAAGGAGCCCAATGAATGTTTATAAGTACTTCAAGTATCAAAAGGGCATCTTTGAGGTTTACCTGACTCGTGAGCACCTCTTAACATCACACTGAGGAGCTAGGGGAGTTTTAAATCACTTCCAAACAAAAGTCCTGTTAAATCTATTAACGTGATCTGTGACGAAGCATCTCACTGTGACAGGAACTTTAACCCTCATTGAGACCCTGCTGCCCTCCAGATCGTTCAAGATGAGTTTAACAGAGGCGTTATCTGGCTTCAGTTTGAATTCAAGACCTCAACCGTGTCACACCGTGGAGCGGCGGAGGAGACAAATCCTGTGACGTGGGAGCAGTGGCGCTGCTGTGCGTCAGCAACCTCCACCCGTAACACAGCGGTGGTGCTGAGCACTGGGGAATCCTGTCATGGGTCAGCACAACAAAGAGGAACCACAAGAAATCAGGTTTTACAGCAGTTATGCAGGAAGGGAGTTACCCAGAACACTGCAGACTCCCTTCCTTCCCAGGGAAAATCAGAGCAAAGGGCTTTGCAGTGGTGATTCCCTGGGTTCTCCCGTGGCAGCCCCTCAGAGGATCCACTACAACTGCCTGACCTGACTTCCACCCAGCAAGGAAGAAGGGCTTTTGTTGCATGTATACCCAAGCAGCAGGGACCACAGCAGAGCTGACCTCCTGGTAAAAGGGACAGGCTGAGCAGGAAGCAAAATGCGGTGGCAAAGGCTCTGCCTCGCTAATGTTTAACGTCTGCTCGAGTTCTAGTGCAGTGTTTCATCATGTGCCAGCTGCAGAGCGGAGGTTTGCTATTATCCTCGGGGTGGCTGTCACTCAGGGGTGGTTTGTTGCAGGAGATGCACTTCATTACCGCAATGGGCCAAGAGCAGTATTGATCGAGATGGAAGAGAACCTCAATCTCCCTCCTGTAAAAGGCAGAGTGAAGGATCCCATCTCCCCTGGGTGAGAGTCTAGTGGGACAAACCAGCCATGTCCTTTTGCATTGAACCCAGCTCATGTGAGACCCAGGGCTCAAAGGGAGGGACTGAGGGATAACACCACACAACAGCCCGTTTGAACTGCCATGAAGAAAAATACCTCCCTTCATCCTATACATACTGCTGTCAGTAAAAATAAAATGGGAAGAGGTCCTGACAAAATCCAAGTGCAGTTCCAGTATCACATTGCCTCCTTTCATACTGAGCTTTATGTTCTCAGTAAACCACACTGTAAAACAGTGAATTTCCAACCCAAGGGAGGCAAAAGGAATCGGTACTTCAGCTCATGTTTCGCAATAGCAGGTGTGGGTATGCCCTCAGATGAAAAGCACTTATCTGCTCTTCCCTTTGAAGTTACACACACGTTCCCTCCTAGCTCAATATCCCAAAGCCTGTGATGATTTTTAATCACAAAGAGCTGTCTTTCCTAATGGCAAAGTATCAGGCAACTGAATAAAAGTATTACAAATGGCCTAGAATTCCAAAGTGCCATCAATCGGAAGCACTTGTGCGCTGTAAGCACATGAATGCTTCTATTTGGCACAGGAAGTCCTTTAAGAGACATTCAACTAAACCTGATTTAATCTCCTGCCTTGAATGTCTGGGCATGCTCAATGTGCTGATCCTAGGGTGCAAGAAAACAAGCCAAAATAAAACAAGCTCTATTCATCAGCAGCAACACTGTGAGTTTTGCTCCCTGGAGAGAGGGCACACTGAAACCTGTGTTCAATGTCAATAGAGCTTCTCCTTGCCTGCACATGGGGGTTTAATGTGTTAAAAACAGACTTCCACAAGGCAAGTGCATGCAGGAAGCAGGAGCCTGGTGTTAGCCTGGGCACTGACCTTGGGGTGGTGGGGCAGACGGGCCATGCCCATGCTGTATGCTGCAGACACCCAAACAAAGCAGCCGTTCAGGACACAGTTAAGGTCACCCATTCCTGCGGGGCTACTACAAGGCTATTTATTGACAGTTCTGCATTTCAATGGCTTTGCCCAGTCAAACGCCAAGTGTTTACATGACAAGCAAAGGTGCTTCTGCCACTCACCATGAAAGGCTTTTCCTGATTGTCTTAATTTCATTACTCCTACTCCAATCCCTTGTTCCACACTAAATTCTTCCTCCTCCCGCCACAAAGCCATTAACTACTCTACACACGGAGGGGAGTTTAACCTGTTGGACAAGTGAGTCAGTGTCAGATGGCAAAGCAGCTATGGATGGTTCTACCCGTTATACCCGAGAAGCAAAAACGACCTCATCCCAGCAAGTTCTACCGCTGTCTAAACAACAATACAGGAACCAGGAACAGTTTTCAGCACAACAAATTCCTTCCTGATGAATATCTCAGCTCTTGGAGCATTTTCCATACAGTGCCAGTGACTGTCCCATGAACTGCTTGTAAAGGTGTATGATAAAAGATATGTTGCTCAAAGGCATATAGCTATTTCCATTATACATACACTATTTTGTGCATAGTATAGTTAATAGTTCAATGTAAGTGCAACAGTTCATGATGACTCGTTACAGGCAATCTGCAGTGAAAAGGCTGTGCAAAAATCTACAAGGATGTTTCAAAAGCCTTGCAAGAAATCAATTGTGTTAACACAAAGCAGGAGGGAGCCTCTGCCTCACACTCTCCTTCATAAGCATTTTGCAACAGAACCACGTTGCTAATGAGAAATGCACACAGTGAAGTTTCGGATGATTAATACAGACACCAACTCAGGGAATCTGGCAGCAGTTTGGAAATCAGCATTTTATATAAAAAGAAATCTCATAAATAGCAAATGCACCATCCCAGAACACCTGACATGAGAGCAGCGAGAGAAAAAGAGACAATTTATCCCACCTCCAGCAAAGGATCACAGCAAACACAAGCAGAAACCCAACAGTTTGAATGGTTTAGCTGTGAACAATCAAGTCCTGCTTGAACTGCTGAGCTCCAGCAGAGCATTTTTTAACCATCAGATAAGAATTACTGCAACCAGCACGACTTGGATGCTTTTTGACCTTGTACCACAAATAATCACGTTCCTGTGTGTAACTGCATAGCTGTAAGAGTAGATGGCCAGGCCAAGTAACCACACACAGTCATCCACCCCAGCCACCTCCTTGGTGCTGGAGACATCACACCTCATTTCAGAGAGCAAAACCAGAAGTGGCAGCAAATGCTTTTCTTGTATCTTCACTTGGGTGCTATGAATCAGTGTCTGAAACACAGTAACAGTGATATTCAGGCCCCAGGTAACCAGATTCCCTAGAAAACGCTGATTTCCAAACCACGCTTCACAGATTTCAGCCTCTGAAGTCAGTAACAGAGTTGAGCCTCATGAGCTCACATTCTCCATGAATACAATTTCACAGACTATTCCACCTGTTATTTAACTTCATCATCAAAGGGAACTGACTTTGCCCGAGAAGGCTCTCACCTCAGTGTCCCAAGAGTCCTGAAGGACAGTACTCCTGGTACTACGCTTTGTCTGGGGAATGTGACCATCATCTTCACTGCCATTCCGCCTCCTCTTCCTGAAGAATGTGCAGGGGGAAAGGAGAAAAAAAAAAAAAAAAAAAAGGCATTAGCAGCTTATTTATAAACCTTCTGCTTTGTTCTCTAAAGGCAACTCAAAACTAAGGGTAAAACCTGATAAATTGATGCTGTATCTAAACCTCTGACGTGCTGTGGACACAGTCTCTTCTTAGCTGCTGTCTCCAGAACAGAGAAGAAATGATCATGCTTCTCTCAAAGCAGCCAGGCTGATGTTTCTATCAGGACTCACACCTGCCACTAAACCCAGTGCTGAGCAGCTTCCTAAATAAACCCATTTGACAACCCTCAGCCTTGCAACTGCTCTCAATACTCAGTCACATCTAAAAATAAGCCTGAGACTCTGAATGACATCTGACAGGCTGAGAACAGCACCTGGAAGAGCAGCAGTGACCACGCTGTCCATGAACACCCAATTACATTCACCTTGCTTGCATGAGCCTGCAGTTAGTGCCTGGGGTGAGTTAAGTCTCTCTGTTCTAACAGCATCTGAAGTCAAGTTGCAACAGTTTTCCATGTGGAAAGGAAGCTTTGTCAGAAAGCACCTCAGAGAAGACAAATCCTTCCTCACAGCCCATGGATTTGCCATCCTCCCATAACATCATTGCTGCTTCACGGCAGCTGATTCAAAACAGTGACCCAGAATCCTGCAAAGCAACGTCCCTCACTGCCCACAGTATTTCAGTACTAATATCAGATGATGCTTCCCACTCTACAAACATCACGTCAACCAGGACCTCGGCACGCTGGGCACTAACCAAAATATAAGATAGAGCAGTTTCAGTGCCCAAAATTGAATACACACTCAAATGAATCAAAACAGCCTCAAGTGAGGTATTTATAACCACATCTTCTCTTACAGACAAGCTCCCGCAGCAGACTCAGCTGTCAGTGTTTGCTCCACGCCTACAGAGCAGGAGCTGCCTCCTCACTCCCCAGCCCTGGGTGCCCACAGCCCCCTCAGCCGCTGCCCACCCATCGGTCTCTCCCTCTCCTAGGAAGAGACCTTCCCCCCTTGCATCGCCTCCAGATCCCTCCTTCTCTTCACACCTCCATCCCCCTCGGCCAGCACTGCCACAGGGGGCCCAGCTCCTACGTGCTCCACAGTCCCTCCTGCTTCTCCCCCACCCAGACAGGACCTACCTCCTCCCCTTCCCCACCAACACACACCTCGAGGGCCCCCCCATACCCTCCGCATTCTCTCTGACCTCCCAGGCGCAGCCAACCCCGACCCGCGGCTTCCCCCTTCAGCATTCACCACCACATCCCAGCTCCCGTTCAGCCCCTGCTGCAGCGCAGGAGGCCGCTCCCCTCCTCTCCCCCCATCCCCTTCGCAGCTCCCCCCTTGCTCAATGCACCGCAGGGGCAGCACGGGCCACAGCCCCCCGCAGGCCGCGCTTCCCCGCCTCACCTCTGCCGCGCTCCCCGCTCGCTCGGCTGCCGGCAGCTCATGGCGGACCGGGCCGGGCTGTGCTGGGCTGTGCGATGAGGAACGGGACGGGACGGGAATGTCGGGGGGCGGCTCGGTCCCCGCTCGGTGCGGCCTGGCCCCGGCCTGGTCCCTGCCCGCCGCCCACCGCTGAGGCGAGGCGTCCCCCGCCCGGCTCCAACCGCCGCTTCCGGCGTTCGCCGCCTCCTGCGCATGCGCAGTGCCCTCCCCGGGCCGCGGCCACGCCCCCCCCCGGTAGCGTCACAGCTTGCGCGCGGAGCGCGGACCAGGACCCCGCGGGGGTGGCGGCGGCGGCGCCTGAACGGGGCCGGGACCCCCGGTAACGGGGCTGGGGGGGCACCGCCGCCATGTCCGAGGCCCCGCCGGGGCAGGAGTGCTGCCCGCACTGCCGCAAGCCCTTCAAGCGGCTCCGCTCACACCTCCCGCACTGCAAGGCCGCGCCGAGCAGGGTCCCCGGCCCCGCCGGCAGCACGGACCGAGCCGCTAAGAGCGGCAAGAGCCCGCCGAGCCCCGGTGAAGGGAAGGGGCTGCCCGGCAAGGGGAAGAAGAAGGCGGCGGCAGAGCGTTGCGGAGGGCCCGTCCCCGGCGCGGTGCGGGAGGTGGCCAGGGCGCTGGATTTGCCCCCTGAGGAGGTGAAGGACGTGCCCCGAGCGCTGAGGAACGGCGCGGAAATCGTGATCGAGAAGCACCGCGCCCGCCTGGTGCGGGGCAAGAGCGGGGCCGGCGGTAGGGGAGCCCCCTGCGGCCCGCGGGAGGCAGTGACCGGTGCTCGGAGGACGCAGACGGAGGGGCCTGGAGCTGCGGGGAAGGAGCCTGCGAGCTCAGAGCGGGGAAAGGGCAGCTTAAAGGCAACGGAACCGCCCGTACTTGGAGCTGCCCCCGGGGCCAGCGGCAGCAGCGGCGCCGGTGACCCTGTGCTGCAGGCGGGAACGGGCAAAAGCGGGGTGGAAGAGAAGCGGGGGCACCCGGAGGCTGCTGTGGGGCACAAAGCCCCTGGTCCTGCTCTGCACAGCAAGAACCTCCATCTGTCCGTGACGGAAGCTGCCGGAGGTCAGAGCGAAGGGACATCCAAAACTTACCTAAGCAGCACACAGGAGCTTAGTGAGAGCGCACAGCAGATGGTGTCTGAGCCCATCCTGAGCGCAAGGAGGGATGCTGAGCTGGCCCTGCACCAGCCCGTGCTCCGCGCTTCCCAAAGCCATCCCATCTGCTTGCCCCGGGCTCCTGGCAGGAGCACGCAGGCAGGGGCCCTGGGCTTGGAGTGGTTTCCAGACTTACATCCTAATTATGATGGGCTGAGGATTTTTCCAGGGAAGCCTTTCCATGAGGATGTGGGGATCACAATGAAGACACCAATGGGCAGTTTCTCCGAGGGGCAGCAAGGTAACAATAAGCCTCTGCTGCTGATTCCCTGCACTGCCAGGCTCAACTGGCTGATGTGACTGGGAGAGGAGGGGTGGGAAACACTGGGCTTATCTGGAAAGGGATCCAGGAATGGTCTGTGGAGGTTCAGGTGTCCAGCCCTGCAGCCTGCAAACCCAAAGGGTTCCACTTGTATTCAGTTTGAGTCAGGCTTTTGCATGCTTGTGCTGGTGAAGCCAGCTCCCTTTGTGGGAGAGATGATTCCTTCTCCCTTCCCGAGTCCCTCATTCCCTGCCTCTGACCACTCTCCTTGCACAGGTCCACTCCTGGAAAGGCGGCTGATGGACGTGAGGCTGGGGGAGCTGCCCCTGTGGGTGACCACCAGAGACTTCTCCCCTCGGGCGCTGCTTGGAGGAGCACAGAGAGGTGAGGCTGAATTCCTGCCCCTGGGGCAGAGCTATCCCATTTAGCCACTACAGCCTGGTCCAAGTGAGCAGAGCCTGGATGGATCTTTATAGAAGTAAATAACCAAACCCAACCATTTGGCTTTGGGAAGTGATGTGGAAACCAGTGAACTCATAAGACCTGCACGTGATCTGACCCTCACATTTCTGTTCCAACAGCCTGGAACAGCTACTACAACAAATACATCAACGTGAAGAAGGGTGGACCAGCCGGAGTCTCCATGCTGCTGGCTGGGTACTGCCTCCTCAGCTATGCCTGGAACTATCAGCACATCAGTAAGATTCCTTTCTTGGTACCAGTCTTGTTTCAGGACTTCTCACTTTTGCAGCAGCAGAAAAGTATTTGCCATTCATGTTAATTCAGGCTCTGAAATAATTACTTCACAGTTAAGATTAATATCAGAGCTCAGAGAGCAATATCCTGACCTGGCTTAGGTGGGCAGAGGAATTAGCTAATAAAGGTGGTGAAACCAGTTCCTGATTCACAGCTTCTCCCTGGACAGCTCCAGGAACCATCAGGAGCACTTTTAAACCCTGCACATAGCAGAAGGGGTGCTCCAACACTTAAACACCCATTCCCTGGTTTTACTCATAACTGAGGAGGGATTCACTGGGCTGTGTTCGTAGTTTCCCCTACAGGACTTGCACTCCTGCAGTCCCAGAGCACTGTGCTGACGCTGTCCTCTCGTGTTCCCCCTTTCTTGTGTTTCCAGAGCGTTATCGCTGGCGTAAATACCACTGAAGCAGCTGGAACAGCACCCAAGGAATGATCAGGAATCTCTGCTGGCAGCCAGCAGAAGAGCTCAGAACCAGTGTCCCAGCAGGGACTCAAATCAGCAGAGGTCAGAGTTGGGTTCTTCTATTGCAGAGGGGCTGCTTTTCAGTTACCTCCTTGTAGGCAGAGGGAGGACGCTGACAGCCTGCAGTCACTGCTCTGAGGCTCAGGCAGCTTTTAGTACTGAAAGAAGAAAGCAGCAGAGCCACCCTGGGCAGTCAGGGTGCAGCAGAGCTCCTGTAGTCTGCAGAAGCCTAAATCTTGCTTTGGGACACCAGGCACAGGACAATTCCTGCACTGCTGCTATAGATTAATGGACCTGTACGTTGTAGTCAGGGTGATGTAAGGTTTGTGATGGGCTGTGGCCAGAGTAACTGTTCCCTTTAAGTCAGAGCCCATCTTTTACTTACCTTGATGGGGTTTAACAGGAGAAAGGGGGTTCTTTCCTTCCACATCGACCCCCCAGCCCTGCTTCACTGTCAGCACAGCACTGGTGCAACTGCCAGGCTCCGAGGTGAAGCCATGAGAGCAGCAGCACTCGGACCACAGCGCCCTATTTCTGGAGGAAGGGAAGGAAAAAATTCCATTGGATGAGCTGTTGTGCCCAAAGGGCAAACCCGTGCCTGCATCAGACTGATGAGCACAGTTAGCACAGTGCTGGTTGTAGCCTGCCATTGCCAAACATGTCTGGGAAAGGGTTGCTCATGCTACAGGCATGAAGGGCTTAAAACAAAAGCCAAGTGAGAAAGATCCAACCTCTTTATTCAGAGTGGGGCAGTTGTGTCAGCTGTGTCGGGGGGGTTCACCACTAACTCCCTCCCTCTCAGCAGCAATAAAAGCTTGTGTGGCTTTGCCTTGCCTGCTTGCTCCTGTGTGTTCTCAAACGTGGTGCTTTTGCCCCCTTCCCAGGGGTTGGCATCCCCACACCCCCATCTGCCAGGGCCCCACTCCCATCAAACCTGTGGCTGCCTGTGCAGGAGGGCATGGGGCAGCTGTGAAGGGCCCAGGTTTAGTTGCATTAAGGAAGCTGTGATTTCTCTGCTGCTTGTGGGAGCTGGTGCTGGGCAAAACCAAGCCAAACTGGCTTTTCTAGTCCAGCAGCTGCCTCGCTGGCTCCATCCTGCTCTGCTGTATCCTTCCATGTCCATGCTGAAGCACTCGAGTCACTTCCCCAGCAGGATTTCCAGCTGTGTCTTCCCACAGTTACTGGAGCTGTGACCTTTCTGCCTGCACTGGGATGACAGGGAGAGGCAGGCACCAGGTTTGTGCTGGATCAGTCCAGTGCCCCGTTACCACGTGTACATTCTCACATCCTTTCCCTTCACCCTTCCTCCAAGGTGAACCATTGCTCCCAGTCCCAACACCACTCACCTTTAAGCCAGTGCCTTGTTCAGGCAGGGTCTGTGTGCCCGGGGAGCAGCTATTGGTGTCCCATGGCTGGGTGCTGGGTAGCTCCAGTGCCTGGTAGAGGGGGTTCCATGGGCAGCTCATCCTTGTGTCCAGTCTCCTTGCTGGGAGTCAGGTCCAGCTGTACCAGCCCCCAAGGACAGCCAGCTCCCTGGAGGGAATGGGGCAGTTGTAGGAGCTTGTGGGGCAGAGGCAGCTCTGCATCACCCTGATGGGCAGAGGTACAGGAGAAAAGGACATCTCTGCATCACCTTGGATGGGTCTGTGCTGCTCATCATCAGCCCAGCCTTGAGGCTGCAGAGGGATAGAGCAGGCAGTTACTCCTTGGGACATAGTAAGTGGTACCCCCACATTCCTCTGTGGCTTCCCATAGGGACTGGAGTATCCCCTGCCCACCCGCTGTAAACCATGCAGTCACCAGCTCAGGATGGACACGGGGAGAGACCAGAGCGGCTCCGTTAGTTCAGATAAAGACCCAAAACACCATTGTCCTTGACCCAGACACTGCAGGGACCACGGCCACCTCTGCAGCCCCACACGGGTGGGTTTTTCCCCCCAGCCTGCACAGTACTTACTGCATGAATGTGCAGTTGGGTCCTTCTGGGCAGAAGCCCAGGGACCTGCCATGCAAAGGAGAGGATCCTATTTAGGTAAGTAGGGGACATAGGCAGCCCCCAGCACCCATCCTAGGAGCTCACCCTGCCTGCAGAAGCCACGGTCATATCAGGGGCAATCAGCATGCAGGAAGGGGCAGTCCTTGTTGCTGCACTCACCTGCAGGAGCAAAGAGCAGGACAACCCTCAACCGAATGCAATGGAAATCACTCCGGGATGGGCTGCGGGGTGGGGAGGAACCGGGATGCCCCAGGAGCACCCAGGCTTTGGGGCATTTCTCCCAGCAGACAGGAGGTGGCATCAAGCGCTTGCTGGAGGCCAGGCCTGCGGGACTCGGGTGCTGGAGGTGGGAGAGGCTCCTGCACCTACTGAACGTGGAGCAGAAACAGCACTCGGGCATCCTGCTCTGGTCGCACTCGGGCAGGAAGCCGCAGCCTCTGCCCTTGGTGCAGAGCCCTCACACCAGGGTCCTCACCCCACCGGCGGGCTGGAAGGGGCAGCACACACCAGGCCACCCCATGCACCCACTGTCACACCTCCCTGTGCCCCACAGCACCCATTGCGGCCGCCCTGCCTGCACCCCGGATCCCCCATCCTGCGCCTCCCAGCTTGGTGCATCCCAGGAGGAGCTTTCCCATGGGGAGGGGATGTGCAGCACCCACTGGGTGCACAGGGCTTGGTCCACAAGGAACTGACAAGGTCTGGTTGCCCTGGAGGGGCTCAAGCCCTCCCCAGTGCCAAAGGGGTGGGAGCACCCATCCCAAGGGCTGGGAGGATGATGGGCTCTGAGCAGTGCTAGCATTTGGGGCAAACCCTGCCAACGCACTGGTTGTAAGGCCATGGAGAAACCTGCCATGGGCATGGGCTGGAGGGAAAAGGGGCCCATCCTGGTGTCCCCAGGGTCTTGCAGGGTGATGCTGGTCCCATCCCTCCCCAGCACTCACCCTTGGTGCACAGCCCTTGGTGGAAGAAGGTGCAGATGGCTGCCCCCAGCTCTGTAGGGAAAGCAGAGCAGGGAGAGCTTCACCCACCAGCCTCAGTGCTAGTGCCATCAAGGGCAGGAGCATCTCAGCCCCCTCAGCACTGTGCTGGATGCATCCCTAAGGAAGCAATGCCCAGAGCGAGCCTGGCCTCGGCAGGAGCCCCAGCAGGACAAGCAGCAAGGAGGAGAACCCCAACACCCCCCAAGGATGCTGCAGGGCCCTGTCCCAGACTTACTGTCCATACCCGGGAAGGGCAGGGGCTGAGCTCCTCGCTGCTGCTCCACACCAGCCACCAGCTCCTGCATCACCCCTGCTCTGGCAAGGGGCACCCCCAGGCCTGCAGAGGGGCTGGTACTGAGGCTACCCAAAGAAAGGATCGATATCCCAGGGCTATCACCACACTCTGCAAGTCACTGCAGCCAGCCGGGGCCCCAGCAGCACTGAGAACCCCTCCTCCTCCCCAAGCCAGAGCAAACGCAACCCCTGCCGCAGCCCCGGGCGCTGCTTTAGAGGGAGAAGCTGCCCACATCTGATGTCAATTTGCACCGGGATTGGTGGTGCAGGGAGCTCAGCCCCGGCCCCAGCGCATCCCTGTAATTGCCTCCGCACCGACATCTGCTTCTCCTCCAGCCCCAGCGCCGGGGCAGAGCAGCTGCTCCGCATCTCCCCAGGAGCACCAGGGGCTGCGTTAACCCCCTCCCACCGGGAATGCTGCTCGGCATCCAGCAGAGCCAGGCACGGCCCCAGTGCTGGAACCGAATGCACAGTGAAAGATGGATCCTGTGTCTGAGCATCGCTGGGTGCACAGCAGCACTGTCCCCAGGGCCACTCTCCAGTGCCTGCAGGGCAGCCCCACATCACCATCTGTACCCTAGGGACAAACAGGTCACCTTCGGTCCCCATTGCCAGGCTGCAGCAGCACGTGCTGGGCATGACCATGGTGCTGCACCGCTTCTTGGTGCCAGCCAGAAAGGACCCCGCAGCCCCCAGGTTTAACCTAATGCTCCGTCCCTTCTCCATCCCACAGCCATGAGCATCCTGACACACGCCCGGAGTGCCACGGCCTGACACATCGGGGATGGAGACCTGCTCCCATTCTGTCAGTAGCTATAAATGCACTGGAGCAGCGCTGCCGGGGGGCCTGTGCACCGACCCGCACCGAGCAGCCACGGCTCACGCACGCCCCGGGTCCCGTGCTGAGGTGTCCACCCTGTGCTGTCGGATGGAGGGGCTGGGGAGGCTGCGGGTGCTGCTGGCACTGTAACCAGGACCCAGGACCCATGGCATTGTTCCCATTGAGTGCGGCTGTGGCATAGAATCAGAGTGGTTTGGGATGGAAGGGACCTTAAAGCTCCTCCAGCTCCAACCCCTGCCACGGGCAGGGACCCCTTCCATAGAGCAGCTTGCTCCAAACCCCTGTGTCCAACCTGGCCTTGAACACTGCCAGGGATGGGGCAGCCACAGCTTCTCTGGGCACCCTGTGCCAGCGCCTCAGCACCCTTGCAGGGAGGAGCCCATTCCTGGGGTAACCTCAATCCCACAGAGGGCTCTTTCTGCCCCGTCGGCTCGCGGCAGCGCGGTGCTGCCGAGCGGGAGGCTGGAGCTGACAGTTGTCACAGAGATCACCATTGCCAAGTGACAGTCGCAGGCGGCCGGTGCTGGGTCACCCGAGGGCCTCTCCCCTCCCTGCACCACCAGGGAGCACGGGGTTCAAACCCCAGTGACCTACCCTGCCCCATTGCTTTGCATGAGAGCATCAGTAAGGGACCAGAGCCAGGTCCCCCCCTCCCCAGCAGCCTGGTGGCCTCGCAGATGCAGGGACCAGCACCATCAGCTCAGGGCAGGGGATGCTGGCACAGGACACTGGGGCTGTGCTGCAGTGACCGGGGCAGAGGCAGCCCGGTGAGCTCAGAGCAGCTGCTGTTGTTCTCCCATCCCAGACAATAGCCCAATGTCCCACACCACGGGGCATTGCATCGGCCCTGGCACACGCACAGGACCCTATTGTGTCCCCACTGCGGCACAGCACTCACCCGCTCCCACCGGCCTCACCAGGGGAGAGCCCACCGGGAGCACTGGAGCATCCAGGGCAGGATCCATCCTCCCCACCCGCCTCTAGTGAGGGAATCCTGCTTGCCGCAGGGGCAGAGCCATGGGATGGGAGTAGCCAGGACAGCCGGTCCTGCTCAGCCATCGCTCCCTGGCTGGCAGGGAATGGGGCTGCAGGAGCAGAGCAGCATCTTGGCAGAGCCATCCCTTGGCAGGATCCAGCCTGGCCGGAGGGTCCCAGCCCAGAGCCAGATCCGGTCAGTGGGAGCTCACCCGCTTCCTCCCACCACAGGGCAGATAAAGCATGGCCTCTGTAGGGGCCACAGCACTGGCCAGGGGCAATCTGCCAGGCAGGATCCAGGCAGGGATGGTGGGAGCAGCAGGACAGGGGCTGGGGACGGTGACAGCACAAAGCCAGGTCCCTGCATGCAGCAGGGTCCAACATATCCCCCCCACCACCACCCCCCAGGAACTCAGGGCACTGCAGTCACTACCGGTTCCTTTTATTCTTTGCATTTGTACATACATGGTATAAAACCTGCTCTTGAAGCACCTGCACCAGGCCCGTGTCAGCACTGCCCGGGCAGAGCAATGCCACAACAGGGGCTGCCCAGCACAGACACCTCAGGGCTCAGCCTGGCTCACAGGGGACAGACCCACACTCCCATCAGCATCCCTGGGAGCAGTCGGAGGCAGGGATGGCCAGGAGCATCCCCCCATTTGTAGTGTCAAGCATCCGGGATGGATCCATCCTTCCTTCCATCCATCCATCCATCCATCGGAGGGATGTGGAGCGAGCCCCCATCACAGCACAGGGCTGGAGGCTCTTGGTCTGTCGGAAGTCCCCCGGAAGCCCAGGGAGTCGGAGCCTCATCTGAGCTCCCGAGCCAAGTCCTTCCTCATGGGAAACCTCCCCTCCATTAAAACCAAAAGCGAGAGTAAGGAAAAGTACAAATCAGAGAGCAGTAAAAACGGTACGGTGGAAAAAAATATATTACTAAAGGGGCTAAAACTCGGAAGCCTCGCCTTGGCCGGCCCTATATTGCTTTACATGGGCAAGAGGGGGCAGAAGAAAAGCTAATATCCAAAGTCCAACAGAAAGAACTGAAACAGAGTCTGCTTTCCCCTCCCAGGACGTGCCGCAGCTCCCCGGGGGTGTCGGTGTCCCCATTCCCAGGAGCTGAGCACTGTCCTGCTGGGATGGGGAGAGGGAAGGAGGCATGAGTCAAGTCCCCCCAGTGCCACCCGGGGACACTCAGCCCCGTGTCCAACCACCGCGGATGAGAACCAAAGCCCTCAGCGCCCGCCTCTTATACTCTGATCTCATCATCATCTTCATCAGCGAATGAGAACTCCTTGTCGGGGCGTTTTGGGGGCCCCCCCCGCTGGCTCAGGGGCACAGGGACGGGGCTGCGCTCCTCTGGCCCTGAACTGCTGTCCCTGGGGGGGCAGCGAACGCCGCGGGACGGGCTCTGGCTCATTGGGAATGCTGCCGGGGAGCCAGGCAGGGTGGCGGCATCCTCCTCATCCTCCTCCTCCTCGCGGCTCTCCTCCGCCTCAGGGTCTTCATCCTGCTCCCACTGCTCCTTATCCATGATGCTCAGGACGTCGCCGAGCATGGAGGGCCCCAGGTCGATGTGGAAGGACATGATGGACTCGGCGTGCTTCATGCCCGCCCCGCTCTTGGCCACCACCACGGGCAGCTCCGTGATGTCCCCGAAGTCGCGCTCGTCCAAGCCGGGGCTCAGCGGCCCCGCGGCCGCCCCGTTTGGACGCTGCTGCTCTTCGGGACTCCCCTCCTCGGGCAGCTTCTTGACGGGGCTGGAGGAGAGGCTCTTGGGGAGCTGCCCCGCGCTCCGGTCCACGTCCTTCTCGTTGAGCTGGGGCAGGGACACCGCGTTCTTGACGAAGAGCGCCGAGTCCCGCAGCGAGCCCAGCATGTCCCGGCGGTCCCCTCGCGTCACCGACTGCGAGCGCTTGCTGCTGCGGAAGCGGCGGGACAGGAGGCTGGGCTTGGAGGCTCCCGGCTCCTCGCCCGGCTCCATCCCCGGCTCCCCAGCCTTGCTGGTGAGGAAGGAGGTGTCCCCAAAGGCGTCCCCTGCCCTCCCCACGTGCATGGTGTGGCGGAAGTCGCCCAGCGGCGCGCTGATCATCTCGGCCGTCAGGTCCGCCCGGGAGCGCCGCTTGGAGTGGGCAGAGTTGGACACGAGTTGCTTGAGGATCGGCATCGCCGCGGTGGGACGGGGGCTGCGCCGGGGCGGCCGAGACGGAGCCGGGCGGTGCTCACAGGGATGCGCTGCGCTTGGGATCCCGCCGGCCTCACAAGGGGTCACTCCTAAGGGACAGCAGAGAGGGGCATGGTCAGGCTTGGAGGACATGAATGGGTACAGCCCTGCCGGCACCAGTCCCATGACCCCGTGCATGACATCCGCTCTGCTCCCCTGGGAATAGCATCCATATGTGGAATCATTCACGGGGACGTGTCCTCAGACACCCCCAGCTCCCCACACCCTCTGATCGAGTGGGTCCCAAACCCGATCGGTGGAGCAGACAGGAAGGGTCACAAGAGAAAGACCTGGGCGCAGGGATGTTGCAGGATGATCCCCAACCCTCTGCCCCACATGAATAGGCACCAAAAGGGATGTGGGGCACCGCAGGCACCCACCATCCCCTCCCGCACAGCCCCAGCTCACCGGAGCCTCCGGGAGCCGCGCGCTGAGAAGATGCCTGGGATATTTTTTCCCCCTTTTTTTAATTGGAAGCAAGCAGGGAGGAGCAAACGCCAGGAGGAATTGGAAACAGACGGCAGGAAGTGTGTGAGGAGGGCGTAGAGCCCCTGGGAGGCACCGCCAGGCAAGCAGCGTGCTGGGGGGGGCCAGGATGGGGACGGGCAGGCACCCCACGGGTACCATTCACACCGGGCAGGATGGGGATATGGGGACACAGCCTTTGAGCACCCCAAACCCCTCCATGCTGTGGCCGTACCCCGGCCACCTCACTGTCCCCGCTGTGACTCAGGGGTGGCAGCAGAGATGACGGTGGCTGAGCAGGATGTGGGAAGAGCCTTGTTTCTCCTTCCCACGGCCACCTCAGTGTCACCAGTGGTCCTGCCCGCACAGAAGGGGACAGGGACTACGTCACCGCATCCCTGGCGCCGGGCAGCCCCAGGTGGTGCCGGGGGAGGCTGATGGGGAGGAAGGGCTCAGCCACACGCTTCCTCCCTTCGGGCACCGCCGGCGACACCGCGGCCCCGTGGCACGCACGGGGAAGGGGCTGATGTCAGTGCTCGGTGTGAGCCTTGGGGGGGGACCCCATCCCCAGCATTGCCCATCCAGCCCCACGGTGCAGCTGAGTGGCTTTGCAGGGCAGCGATCACAGCACCACCCGCTCCTGTACCTGCTCACTGGACACTGCAGGGGACCACAGCATCCGCCCCGAGCTCCTGGCACAGCTAGGGGAGGGTTTCTGCCCCACATCCCACCCCAAACCTGCCCTGTGACATCCGTCTGCCCCCCCCTAAAGCAGCAGGAGCTCATGCAGGCTGCAGAAGGAGGGACTCTGACCCCATACATGGGGGCAAAGTCCCAGTGCCTCGCCTTTCCATGCAGCACTTCCGCACAGAGCCAGCCAGGGTTGGCCTGCGGAACGTGGGGAGCATCCAGTTCATCCTTAGCAGTTGTGGGAACAAACACAACCACTCTGCCTTCTCCACACCCTCAAAGCAAGAGCCAGGATCTCACCCGTGTGCACGGCACAGCCGCTCTCCCCTTGCCGATCTGCTTCCAGGCCGGCATTCCTGCAGCCTTTGGTTTTACATAAAACAAACACTCCCGGCGAGCTCCCCGGCTGGGCCAGGCAACCGTGCTGCTGATTTAGGCCATCTGGGGACTGTCCTGCCCTCCTATTTGGATTTCGAGGCCAACTCCAGCATTTGCGAGATACTTCGCAAGCCTTGGCTTGGGGGCCAGCGGGAGGTTGGAGCATCCCCAGGGCGCTGCAGCAGCCTCCCCGGCCAGCAGCTCTCCATCACCCTCACAGCTCCAAACCAGCCGCCAAGGCCCCCCTTGATGCTCCTGCCCACGAAGCCTTTTTGTAGTGGGCAAAGTCTCCCCCATCCCTCAACTCTCTGCTCCCCACTCACCCCAAGAGGTGATGGCGGAGCAATGGGATGCTGCTGCCTGGCTGCCAGCCCCGTCCTGCCCAGGGGAGCTGGACACAGAGCTCTGTTCTCCTCCTCTTCCTCAGGGAGAGCGGATCCTGTGACATTCCCACTGTGGTGCTTTCACAAAGGAAACCAGGCCAGGGCAGCCTCGCTGCTGCTGCCTCTCAAGCTACCTACCAGGGAAAGCAGCTCTGTAACCCGAGAGACTGCGCAGGCAGGCAGGCTGGCAGCGCTGCCATCCTGGAGGGAGCCCAGAGCACAGCCAAGTCCCTGCAGGACTTCGGGAAAGGGGAGGAATGAGACCTGCAAGTCTGGCTTGAGGACAAGAGGGATGAAGTGTATTGACAGAACATGCGCTTCTTCCCACATTTCAGCCCTTTGGAACCACAGGCTCCAAGGAGCGAGAGCTTCAGGTCCCCATGGGCATGATTTCACCCTTCTTGCAGGACAGCGGATCCTGCAGCCAGTGTGGAGGGTGGGACAGCCCTGGGGCTGTGAGCCCTCATGGTTCAGGCTTCCCACAAGACCCCTACATCCTCCCCCTCTCACCCTGCTCAGCACCAGGCACCCACTGAGGCACAAGCAGCTTAAAGAAGGACCCCCGTGAATGAGTGCACACAAGGGGGGATACGTGGGTCCAGCCGCGCTCCCACACATCCTGCCCCCGGCTCATCCCGCTCACAGGCTGGGAGAGGGAAAGCATCCCAGCCAGCCCGGCCGGCTCCAAACGAGCTCTGCCGTGCACAGCACCCCAGGCAGCACCCTCCAGCCCAGAGATCAGAGGATGCTCTCCCCACCCTGCTGGGCGCTGGGGCAGGGGCTGCGCTGGACCGGTCGGGGATCCGGATCTGGCTCATGTGGCCCTTTGATGTTGCTGCCTGGCAGACAGGGCACGGATCACACCCTGCCACCGCCGGCTCCGGGAGGGGACCAGCCCCTTGTCACACCCTCACATGGAGCTCCCCAGCGACTCTTCCCAGGACCCGGGGGCAGGCGGTGCTGTTGGCGCGGGCAGCCCGGGCGCCCCGGTGACAGCCTCCTCCCGGCGCGGTGACAGGTCTGGTCCTGTCCCTGGCATTGGGGCGCTGGTGAAGTTCAGCCCTGGGATGCACGGAGCAGCCCCGGCAGCACCTCTGGAAGTGGAAAGTGAGCCGGCGGCGAGCCTCAAAGCCAAGGCCAGCAGACGGCTCACCAGGGTGGGAGGAGAAGCTCGGCTCTGGCCAGGGCTGCCGGCACACCGCTCGCCGCCAAGCTGGGAACTCAGCACCCCAGCACCGGCGCACCGGTGCCAGAAGGAGAGCAGCGCTCCCCAAGGAGCTGCCAACAACGAGGAGCTAGCCAGAGTTCAGCACAGAACTCTTGGCAGGACACGCCAGAACACGCACAGGACCATAAATCCTCCTGCGACGGGGCCACGAACCAGCCGGCGGCTCTGCAGGACGAGGAGGGGACCCTTGCCGAGGGGAAAGGTTATCTCCTCGCTGGCCCTGGCTCCATCTCTCACAACAACAGGGGCTGGCCGGGCTCCGGCAGGATACAGGGGCTAAACAGAACCTCCCGACCTCCAGATTCCTGCGGTTTTCGCTGCGATGGACGGGAAGTAAACAGGCGCATGTCCCACAGCCCGGCCACGCACCCGACCTGCGGGCAGGGCCCGGCACCCCGCAGCGCCCAGCTCGGGGCGAGGAGGGGGGGGGCACAACCACGGCGTCTGTGCTGCGCTCACCACAAAACCAGGGAACAAAGGGAGAGACCGCCGCGGTCAGCACAACGGGGCCGGCAGCAGCGCGGGTCTGCCCGGTGGGGATGGAGCCCCACGGCTGGGTTAGCCCATGGGATGGCGTTGGGTGGCCGGTCCCGGGGATGGGGATTGAGGCCAGCGCTGCTCTTCCAGCCCCCTGGAGCCAAACCCACTGAAGCTCCCCGGTGTTAAGTCTCAGCTGGATTCTCTCCATGGTATCCGGGGGAGCTGTGTGCTAAACAGACTTGTTTACTGGGTGCCCAGCTAGGCAGCAAGCCCTGTCCCGAGGCGCAGAGACTCGTGTTCCCTTCGCTCTATGCCTCAATTTCTCCCGCAGACCATTAACGATCCCAGCTCCCTTCCCAATCCATAGATTCGGCACTCGGAAACATCTATACTGAACGCAGCCACCGCCGGGGTCAACCCAGGGCGAGTCCCGCGCCCCACCGGCTCCCGCAGCACCGGGGTGGGTTTGGGAGCCAGCGTCTGCTGTGGGAGCAGCCACGGGAACAGCAGGGATGGAGCGCAGGGCGGGGAGCCCGGCTGGAAGCCCCGCTCCCGGGCAGCGGGATGATGAACCGGGGAGGGGATTTCGGGCGGCCCTGACTCAGCACCCGCGGTGCCCAGCCCCGGGGTGCCCCTGGACCCGCTCCAGCGCGGGGCGGATCAACCTTTCCGAGAAGGGCCGCGGGCAGCCACCGCCCCGGCCGCGGCCACGGCCGGCTCCGGACACCGCAACCCGCCGGTGGGACCGGACGGAACGAGGCGCGATCGCTGCCGCCGGGGCGGGGTGAGCCGCCCGGTGCCCCACGCTGGGCAAACACGGAGCCGCATCCGGTTAACTCCTTCGCCCGACGGACCGGCCCCACGGACGGGCGGGGAAGGGGGTAACGGGAGCACCGCCGCCCGCAGAACGGTACCGGAGTGGGGTTTGGGGCAGCCCCGGGGACCCCGCCCGCCGCTGGACAATAGCCGAGCCGGGGCCCGGCTGCCTCCTCCCGTACCGAGCCGAGCCGTACCGTATTGTATTGTATTGTATCGCATCGTACGGTACCGTACCGACCCGCACCGGGCTGAACCTCATCCCCCCCGTACCTGCGCGACCGGGGCCCGCTGCCGGTCCATGGCCGAGCCGAGCCGAGCCGGAACGAAACTGCCCCCCCCAAACCGCGGCGGCGGGCATGATGTCATCGCCCCGCCCGGGCCAATGGCGCGGCGCCACGTCACTGGGCAGTCCCATACCCTCCATTCAAACCCGAGTGGGGCGGTGGGGGGGTGTTTCTTGTCCCAGCCCGTGTCATGAATGGAGACCCCGAGTGGGGTCTGCAGCCCCTCCTGGGCCAGCGATGGGGGGGTCCCGGGTCCATTCCCTTTGGGGGGGTCCTGAGTGGGGTCCCCGAGGGCAGAGCAAGGGGCTGGCAGCACCCCAGGGAGAAGGGAGGATGGGCAGAAGCAGGGGGTGTCCGGTTCTATTTAATTAAGGGGAATTAAGAGCCGACCTGATCTGCGGGAGGTGGCGGGCGCAGCCCCAGGGCAGCATTGATGTCCCTGTCGCAGCTGTGACCGTGACCCCACACTCCTCAGCCCCCCAGCTCTGTCCCCACCCAGCCCCGCTGCTCCAACCCCGTCGAGGGGCCAGGGGCTCCCCCAGGCCGAGGCTCCATTGGGTGATGTGTGGCCAGGAGGTGATGCTGGGGCTCCCTGTGCTCCCCCCGTGCCCTGCGATGCGCTGAAAGGGAGAGTGCAGGGCTTCAGAGCTGCTCTCGGGGATTAAATGGAGACCTTTGTGGGAGAAAAGGGGCGGGAGAGACAAGATTATCCCGAATCTGCCTAATGCGGCGTTTCTCGTGTATTCTGGAGCGTCTGCCAGCTCTTCGAGGGAGCCGGGCTGGGGCAGGGGGGTGGCGAATGGGGCCCTGGGGTCCCCCGGCCGTGCCACCCTGGGGGTTCGGAGGCTGGGACACAGTGCTGCAGGGCCCGAAGATGTCTCCTGGCAGTGGTGCAAGGAGCTCCATTCCCCAGCACCAGCTCAGGGGCCTTGGTTTTAGCAGCAGCTGGATGCTTCGATGGCTCACCCAGAGCAGACGCTTCCCTCCATGGGAAGGGCAGGAGGCTGCTCACGGCATAACCATGGAGCTGCTGCTCCTGGCACTGTGGAGGAGCTGTTGTTGGCACCGTGGCCGAACCACCCAGGGCACAACCTCAGCCCGCAGCCCGGTGTCCAGCACCACCACACCAGTGCCTGCCGTCGCCTTTCCAGGCCGCGCTGCTTCCTTGTCTCGCAGCAGTTCCATTTCCATAGCCGGTTTGTTTGGCAAATTTGATCTTCCTTGTTTTCCATATGGGCATACCGAGGCAAGAGGCAGAGCCCCGTGCTCACAGCTGAGGAGGGTCCCCTGGGAGCCACCGCTGGGTGCAACAGGGGTTTGTTGGCAGGTGAGGAGGAGGAGGGTCTGCCTGAGCCCCCAGCAGCAGCTCTGCTCACCCGTTAATCACAGCGCTGCTCGCCTCACCTGACGCTGTCATGGGAGCACGGAGCTGGCTGAGACAGCCCGGTCAGGAGGGATTAACATCAGCGGGAGGTGGGGGAAGGCTCCCATGGGCTGCCCTGACTCCGGCTGGGAAGAGCAGCACCCACTCAGCTTGAGAAACTGCCTCAGAGGGACAGGGCCCCTTCCCTCTCCTCTCGTCTGCAGCCTCAGGCCATGCAGAGCCCCAGGGCTGGAGCCAGCAGCAGGGTTTGGGTGCTGGGGGGCTCAGGAGTGGGTGCTTGCATCGCTGCCCCCCTCCCTGAACCCGTCACCGGTTCCTTTTACTGCTTCTCAGCGGCTTTTGAAAGCAGAGAAGAAAGAACGGCCTTGAAAAGCGCTTTGAGAGGCAGAGCAGGGAGAAGCGCCCGAGTTTCCCGGCAGCCCCATCCCCTCCTCCTGCCTCAGCGCTGCCAGCTTTGTCTGCCAACACCGCCTTGGAGATGCTGCAGAGAGAGCTTGATGCTTCCCCAGAGCCCCCTTTCCATGCTGTTCTCCCAGGGAGGAGCGGTTACCCGGCTTACTGAGGGGCATCACCCGCTCAGCACCCATGGGTGCCAGGACGAGCCGTGCACAGGTTGGAGCCTGCTGTGGGCAGGCTTGTGGTGCAGATGGCTGCAATTCCCAGCAGGGACGCTCCCCTGGCCAGGGAACAGGCTCACACAACCCATTATCTGCCTGGGAACCCATCACCTGGCCCTGCTGCAGCCACCCTGGCTTGTGCTGGGGCATCAGCAGCGCCCATGGAAAGCACCTGCCCTGGCACAGCTTTGGCACAGGGACCCCTTTGGTCATAGCGGGCACCCACACGTGCAGGAAAGGGTGTAGAGACCTGGATCCACCTTCTCCATCACTCTCCTCTTCCTGCTGTCCCAGAAGGATTCATCCTGCCTCCGGGAGCCCTGCAGCCTTGGCACGGCATGGGAGGTGGCAAGGCCTGGGGCATGTGGGGCTCTGAGGATGCACTGAGTCCCAGTCACGGCAGGAGGGGCTGTTCCTGTCCCCATGGCAAGGGAAAGGTGGGGACACTCGGCTGTGCTCGGGGGGAATTGGAGGGAAAGGAGAGCCCAGGCTGCCGGGCTGCTGCTCCTCCACTGCCCACACCGAGTGTATTCTCTTTACTCCACGCTTGATCCAATCCTAACCTGGCAAACAAACTGTTAGTACCTGGCTCCTCCAACACCAACAGGCTGCAGCCGGGATACATCACGATAACTCATGGGATTCAGCCCAGAGGTCACCACCCTCATCCCCGGCACACATCTCCCCATCACAGCAGGGGCAGCGAGCGGGTACCGCTCCAGGGCTGCCCATCCACAGGGCAAGGTCTGGGATGCAGCTTCTCCGCTCTGTCCCGCTTGGCTCGCCCAGTCCTGATAAGCAAGCGGAGCTCTGCCCTTGGCTGAACCGCAGGGCTCCGCCGAGCAGCAGTCAGGGGATGTGTCAAGGCCAATTCGGTCCTCAGGGACTGATTGCTGCCGACAGCTCGCCCTGCACAGAGACCTGGCAGCGCAGGCAGGGTGCAGGCAGCACAGTGCTGCCTGGAGGGACTTTAGGGAAGAGCTGGTTGTGGCAGCAGAGTGGGGAAAGAGGTGGCTGTGCTTGGCAGGGAGCACAGCATCTTCCCCCGCAAGCCCAGCCAGGCCGGTTGTATCTGTGCCGTGGGGAAACTGAGGCAGCGCAAGTGAACAAGAGCTCCCAGTGGTGTCAGTGGCACTCAGCCCATCTCTGCTGTGCCCACACTGGGCTTTGTGCCCTGGCTGGCTCCTGGACCAAGCCAGGGAGGCTCCTCGCGGAGCAGAGCCACGGTTGGATGTGGGATGTGGGATGTGCCACTTCCTCGGGTGCTGCATCCTTGCGCTGTGGGAACCCACAATAGAAAGTGCTCCTTCTGTGTTTGCCACCATCACTGCCGCAGGGCCCCGGTGCTCCGGCCACAGCCACACTGGTGGCTTCATCACCCGGCCCAGTGCCAGCTCCAAACCTGCTGCGGATGCTGCTGCACCCTCTGGCTTCTCCTCCTCATAGCTGGAGATGAACTGGGCTGGGGTAGGCAGCAGGGCTTGGGTTCTGCTCTGCCCTGGCTGCTGGGGAGCACATGCAGGCCCCACACGGGCACCTCAAGCATCCCTTGCATGGGGATTATCTCTTGCACAAGGAGCATCCCTCACATGGGGAGCTCGCCTGTGCCACTCAACTCCCCAGACCTGCTCTGCCCCATGTCCCAGCCCGTGGCAGGAAGGTCTCTCTTGCACCGATCAGGATGCCTGGGGCTGGAGCCAGGCTGCAAACAAAGGGCAGGGTTTGCCTATGCTCTGTTCCCTTGCAAACACCTCCACCCAAGTGGGGTGGCTGGGGCTCCCTTTGCTGCCCAGATTGTGGACGGGCACCCCTGGGTGCTGTGCACCCTATAGCACCAGCTTCCAAGTAGGTCAGATGAGTCACCCACCGGATGTGGCTCCATGGCCACCACCATGTGCCATGGGGACAGTAGCTTGTTGGCAGTGATGACACCAGCATCCCTCATTTCTGCCCAGACCCTTGCTCACACCAGGGTGAGGGTCCAGGCATGTGCCTACAAGGGGCTCAAGCCCCTGGTCCTCTAGCCCCCAAGCAAGGAAGCCAGAGCTGGCACGAGGCTGAGCCCCCCTCCCTTAGCTCCACATCCCCCTCCCCTCCATCCCCACACTGTTTGCTGCTGGAGGGGTGACGGGTGATGGAACCCAACCCCATCACCCGGATTTTCCTGCCAGACCTGAAGGGCAGAGCAGGCAGCGAGGGTGGAAACCACCCCAGGAGAAGCCTCCAGTGCTGGTGATGCCAAAAGCACCCGGTGCATCCATCCACCTCCCTCCTTCCCCATCCCACCATTGGGTCACCCTTTCCCCTCCAGCTACAGACCCCAGTGGGATGGAAACCTGCAGGGATACATCCATCACTGCTCCCCGTGCCATTCTGAGCCACATCCTGGCCCCGCACCTCTGCCTGGCTCCTTCCATGGTGCCGTAGGGCTGACACAAGCCCAGGTAGGAGAGCAGGACAGACACATGCCAGCAGGGTGACAGAGAAGTGAGAGCCGCTGATCCTCAGGCTGTTTATTTGCATCTCCCTCGGCTCAGCAGTAGGCACTGAGAGGGTTTGCTATGCACCAAAACAGCCCCAGACCCCCCCTGGGCATCACCACCCATCGCATGTCCCTTGTGCTCCCTTGAACAAAACCCCATTGAAAGAGACCCCAAACCACCAGCAATGCAGAGGAGGGGGGGGGTCTGGCTGCTGCATCGCCCCATCTGAGCCTCATCCAGGGTGCAAAATCAGGGGGGGGCATCAGCACCATGTGCACCCCGGCAGGGGGCTCCTGGGGTTCAAGTCCTGGGCACCAAGGGAAGGAGGAATCGGTTGTCCCCTGGGTTCCTCGCATGTGGGTGCCCCTTTTACCAAAGGCTGGGGGGTCCTGGGTTGGGGTTCCATATCCAGAGGCTTTGAGTTGGGGTCTCTGTGTCACCCCCGCTTGTCCCCACGTCCTGGGGGGACCACAAACGGAGGGGCCAGAGTTTGGCACGGTGAGATCCCCAGCACCCCATAGGGACCCCAGCACTGCAGGTCCCGAGGGCGAAGTCCGGTGCGATCCTGCGAACATTCCCAGCCCTCCTTGGCTGAGCAATCCATAACACAGACGA